TCAAGATGATCAGATTCTCATAGATCATAATCTCCTTAAGAGATCGATGCATCTGGATCAAGCGATGTAATCGTGATCCGGCATGGTTTCACCAGCGCTGTGCAGCAGCTGAAGTGAATACAGATAGGCTAAAGACGCTGCTCATTGTTGCAGCCAGTGACGGCGCATACAATGAATGTCGCGGCCATTGAGGCGCAGACATAGCTCTCGGGGCCCATAACCTGTTGAGCACTGGGGAGAGCGTCTAGCAGCTCACCTGTGTGAGTTGAGAGCTTAGTGTGGGCACTATGCGGGAGTAGTCAAGAGACTTGTTATTAAAGGGTAATAGAGCCCTCCTTATATACAATACAGGGGGCTATTTGTGTCTATTTTGGACGAGTCGACATGACTCTAGATGACACGTGATGGAGTCATAAGATGTGTATCACGACATCCATCTGGCAGATGATAAGATCATCATTTGATCAACACAGCCGTGTGACTCCCTGATGCTTCGGCAGGGGCTGGGATATCAAAACTGTGCAATATTTTCTGCAGAATCCAGGCATGTAGGGTTAAAAAGAAAGTGTGATTTGTTCATTTTTTGGCTGGCAGGGTAGGTGGGCTGACATCATGGGCTGCATCAGGTCCACTGTCAACTCATTGATTGTTTTGTCTGCTCATTCCATATACATGCCCATTGGTAAGCTGATCATGCTGTAGGCACAGTCTAATCTTACCCTGTGGATGATACCACACATTAATTACATACCTAATGTCACACTTCCTGTCTGGGACTCATTGAAGTTCATCTGTTCTGTGTTACTTTACAAGCAGTTTGCTTCAGTTGCAACATGAACAGATGTAATAGTGGATTTGACATGCCCTGAATTGATTCCTAGGTGGAATATGAGACAATGGATTCACCAGCAAGTTGTCTCACAATAGTCAGAGATTGGTAATATTTGAATTTCAAATTTCATATACAACACTCTGTGCACTCAGAGCTCGTATATTTGCAAGATAGACTGTAGAGACATAGATGGTTACTTTTACTACCTCTGGGGCTGCACACATCCTTGCCATGACCCACTGCCTGCACCCCCGCTGGCACCCCCTGTGGCACCCCCTGTGGCACCCCCGCTGGCACCCCTGCCAGTCTAGCACCCCCCGCCGCACCGGTGCCTTGCTCCTGTGATTTTCTTATATGTAAGATTATGTAAACTGACAGCTCGGAACACGTCAAGTCACTAGCCAATCAGAACCTGTATAAACGTCGTACCTAAGTGTTTACTGCTCTTCTAACACTGTTCTTACAGTTATGCAGCTGAAAACCATCGGAATAAGGTCTCCATATGCTATTCTTGTTGAATATGTAGGTACTTCATATCCTTTGTCCACCTAAAAATCGAAACATGAAAACAGTTCACCATTGCTCAAGGTTTGTGACAATCAACCCAAAAACAAAGTCGAAAAGAGAAGTCAATTCGAAGACTGGAGAATACAACCAAATAGCTACAGTATTTATACCCAAATCCAGTCTGAGTCATATCTACAACTAATGAGTCATAGGGCTATGTACCGCATGGAGCACTGGTCATGGGTTGTAGTAGAGCCTTCCGGAGCATATGTCGCGCAGCCTCGAATCGATAAAGATAACCCCTGGAACCCCTAGCCCGGATCGTCTGATGCCGTGATCCGTGATAAGATAAGCCGTGCCAAGATAAGATAAGACCGTCGATGATAAGATGAAAAAGAGTCGAATTATGACATTACACCCTCTCTAGGGTCGATGTCCTCATCGACTAGGTCAATGGGCGTGAAGACGTTCTCGTACGGATCGAAGAGTTGTCGCTGGGGATATGGAAGCCGTTCGTCTTTGGGTTTGTAGCGATGGATGAGATAATCCCAATGTCCGGCTTCGAGAGTTGGCAGGAGGTGAATGCGTGTGTCTGGGTTGGATTGCTTCCTCTGCCAATCTCTCAGGACCTTCTTTGCGTGGGTAAGGTGACGTGATGGTTCCCAGGTGTTCTTGCTATGCGGCCATCCCTTCCATTTGACCAAGTACTGTTTTCCTCGGCCGACGTTTTGCTCTTTCACGATCTCTTTGACTTCCCACTCTTCTGCTCCTCCGATCATCTTGGCTACAGGCCTCTTCTCTCGGCGATGGGGGGGTGGTTCGTGATAGGGTGTCAACAGTGACTCGTTGAACACCGGATGTCTTTGGTCTGTGTCCGGTAAATCCAGCTTCCATGCAGCCGCTCCAACCTTCTCCAATATCTCGTATGGCCCTAGTCTCTTGTCGCTCATCTTCTTTGATGGTCGATCCGTCTCGATATTTTCCCCTTCTATGTACACCTTCATCCCAACCTTCAACTCCGGAACTTCTTTTCTTTGTTTATTGTAGTATTTTTTCATTTTTTCTTTTGCTTTTTCTAGTGCTGTTTTTGCTTCGTCTTATATTTCTTTCATTCTTTTTACAAATTCCTCCGCCAACTCGTTTCTCGACTCCATCCGTTGCTCCACTCCCTTCCATGGGTGATATCCGTGATTCGCATAGAATGGCGATATTTTGGTAGATGTGTTCATTTTATCGTTATATGCGAATTCTGCCATCCCTAGCCACTCCGACCAGTCCGTCTGATGGTAGTTGACGTAGATGCGGAGATAATGCTTGATCTCCTGATTCATGCGTTCTGTCTGCCCATCCGTGATCGGGTGATATGCGGTCCCCGGATTCATTTCCACGCCCAACATCCGATTCGTCTCCCTCATGAAGCCCTTGATGTAATGCGAATCCCTGTCGGTGATGATCTTGCGAGGGATCCCGTGGTAGCGGAAGACTCGGTCCCTGGTTAATCGTGCCACTCCTTCGCTGCTGATGTCAGTACTAATTGGTTCGACATGGATCATTTTGGTGAAGGTGTCACACCACACATGAATTGCGTCATACCCGTTACTGACCGGCAAGGGTCCGATTTGATCCATGGAGATGATTTCCCACGGCGCGTTTGGAACTGCATGCGGGTGCAAACTCCCTGTCCTGGCTCTTCTGGTCTTGGTCCGCTGGCACGCTTCGCACGTCTGGATGTATTTCCGAATTTGGTTTCCCATCCTTGGCCACCAGTAGTTCCTTTCCACCATCTCCTGCGTTCGGTTGATCCCAGCGTGTCCGACCAAAGGGGTGTCGTGGTGTAGTCCGATGATCTTGTCCCGCAACTCCTCGTCCCTTGGTACATAGAGCTTCCCATGGTACGTGATAAGCCCCTCTTCCTTCTTCCATCCGACGAGTGATTTCTCTAAGGCCGCCTTGACGCTTCCATCAATTGATCAAATGGCCTTGATTTCATCGATTAGCTGCTGATCCTGTCCCTCGAATGTGACTTCTTGTGATCGGAAGAACTCGGGCTTCAGTAGCGTGACGTCCTTGTTGTCGTTCTTGCCCTGATCGTGATCTGCTCGTCGAGACAGGAGAACCGCCTTGCGGTTGAGTGCGCCGGGTCGGTGTCGTAAGATGAAATCAAACTCCGCCAACTCCGTGATCCATCGTGCTTGCCGTCGATTGAGCTTCTGCGGCTTCCGGAAGTACTCAAGATTCTGATGATCAGTGAAGATCTCGAACGTCTCCGTGGCTCCCAGTAGTAGCTGTCTCCATTCGTCCAATGATAGCATGATTGCAAGCATTTCCTTGTCGTAGATCTCGTAATTTCGCTCGGTTTCGGTCAGTGCGTGCGAAATAAATGTGATTGGGCGCCAAATGCCGTCTTGGTTTTGGCTCAAAACTGATCCTGTTGCCCCTTCCGAAGCATCGGCTTCCAGACGATATTGGCCAGTGTCATTTGGCAGTGCTAGGACCGCATCCTCTGCGATTCTCTTCTTCAATCCATCAAATGCCGCATGCTCATCTGCACCCCATGACCATCCTGCCTTCCCTGTCAGCCGTGTCAACGGCTTGGCAACCTCCGCGTATCCTTGGACAAAGCGCCGATAGAAGTTTGTGAACCCTAGAAACGCTTGGACTTGTTTGACGCTCTTTGGTTCCGGCCATTCCATCACGCCCTTGATCTTGACAGGGTCCATCCGCATCGAGTTGTGTCCAATGATTACACCTAGGTACTCGATTTCCGTGCGTTCGAACTCGCACTTTTCGGGCTTCAGGTATAGCTTGTGTTTCTGGAGCAATTCGAGCACTCGTTTTGTGATCCGCCGATGTTTGTCCAAGTTCTCTGTAAAGATCAGTATATTGTCCAGATAGACTACCACGTGGCCCTCGTTGATCAGTTCTCGGAGTATGTTGTTCATCATGTTTTGGAAGGTGGCCGGGGAGTTCGTGAGACCAAAGAACATGACCAAGGGCTCGTACAGTCCGCGGTTCGTGCGGAACGCAGCCTTCCACTCGTCGCCCTCTTTGATCCGTACGTTATTGTATCCCCATCGGATGTCGAGCTTGGTGAAGAACTTGGCGCCGCATAAATTATGGACCAGCTCGGAGATCAGTGGCAGCGGGTATCGATTTCGGATCGTCATCTCGTTCAGCTTCCGATAATCCTGGACGGGACGTAGCAAACCATCCTTCTTTTTGACAAAGAAGAATGCTGAGGCCATGGGTGATTTTGATGGCCTGATTCGTCCGCTAGCCAAGTTCTCTTGTAAGAACTCGTCGAGTTTGACCTGTTCGTTTCGTGATAGCGGGTACACCTTGCAGTCCACTGCTTTGGAACCAGGTTTGAGCTCAATCGCATGATCCCATGCCCGTCGGTCCGGTAGTGAGTCGAACGATTCCTTGGCAAACACCTTGACAAATTCCCGATATTGATCTGGGATCTTTCCCTCGGTCATTCTTTCTTTCTCCTTTTCTGCTTCTTCTGCGAATTTCTGCGCCGGGGTTTCCTTCAGCCGTAGATCCACCTCCTTCCCAAAGTCGATCAACAGGATTGATTCTCCTTCTTCCAGATCCGGTGCACCGGTCTCCAGGTCGATTGCATCCATGTCAATCATCGCTTGATGCTCTTCGTGACCCCTCATGGACAACGCTCTGGGCATCGACTGAATCTCATTGTCTGCTCCTGCCAATCCACCTCCGGGTTGTGTTCCGTCAGCCAGTCAAGACCAATGAAGATCCGGGCCTTCCCTAAGCACGTCAGAAGGAACGTGCGTGTCTCCACGTGAGGACCGATTCTCATCCTTAGGTCAACGTAATGCGTGATCCGGCCGCTGATGTTTTCGGTGTTGTCGGCGTTACGAGCCACAATGGGTTGGGGAAGTTCTTGGATGTCCAGCTTCTCTGCCCGCGCGTAGTCGGTATTGATGCAGCAGGTGCTACAGCCACTGTCGAGTAGCGCCTTAACTCCGCGCGTCTTTCCTGAGTCCAGGCCTGTGATCTGGACATATACGTCCATCGAATGTCTCTTCCTTTCGGCCTGGTAGTTGCGCAATTCCTGTGCCAGTCTGCTGGGCTGGGGGCCCTTCTGTTTCTCGGCCGCCAATTTCCTTTGAACGGCATCTGGCACCCTTGTGCGTTTGGGTGCTTCTGGGACCTTGATTTTGGCAGATTCCTTGGGCGCTTCCTCCTTTTTCAAGGATTGAGCCTCCGGAGCAATGCTCCCCTTTTCGGTCTTTGTTGACGTGGTTCCTTCTCCACGAGCCATAAATACGTAGGAGTCCAAAATTAATTTATCCGCAGCTTTCTGATCCTTTTTACTTTGTAAATACTCTCTATTTAAATTTATTTTCCTTTGACGTTCCTTTTCCATATCAGCAACGAGAAAATCATGAATATTAGTACGTAGTGAGTCTGGGATTGTGTATGTATGAGGAGAATCGTTCATATCTTTAATCGAAACAAGTACAGAAAAATGTCCATAGTCCGGACGCTCCACCTCCTTGGCTAGAGGAGTGGAGCGCTTCAAAAACCCTTCTCGCGCAGCTTCTCGGCGATCTCCTTGAGGAACTCGTTGTCCTTGTCCCCGTTCTCGATCTCTTCTAGCATTGTGGCCCGATTGAAGAACGTGCGCTTCTTCTTGGGCTCAGGGCAGTTCCGCGCAATGTGCCCCGGTTGCTGACAGTTGTAGCAGATAATATTGCGGCCGCGGGCGTGGGTGTGATCGATCTCCATCGGAACCGGCTCATTGGCCGCTGGTCGGGCCGGAGCGGGTACAGGTGCTGATGGTGCAGCCTGAGGGCGGAATTGGGGTGGGGGCCGCGGAGTTGAGTGCCCATAGGATGCCTTACGCAGCTGATCGCGCAAGGCATTGGCCTCGATGTTGATACACCAGTTCTTGAAGGCACCATATGCCTTGGGCAGAGGGACGCCGGTGTTGTAGAGGCGGCTTGCAATTTCGCTGCTGAGTCCGCGCTCAAGGAACTCGATGAGGATGTTGTCCTGATCCCCCTTCTTGTACTCGCCCTTGTCATCGGTCGAGGCGATCACGTTGTACCCCGCGTCCGCAGCCAGCATTTCGAAGTCAGAGATGTAGTCCGCGAAGGACCGTCTCCCCTGGCGAAGGGCCATGAGTCGAGCAGCGGCGACTTGTTCTGCGTTAGAATCCCCAAAGGCTCTTTGGAGCTCCTCCAAGAAGGTTGTCGCGGTGACTCCCGCCTTCATTCCTTGGAAACCCTCAAAATTGTGCTGCTTCCAGTTCATCGCCCATCTCGAGGCGGCGCAGCTTGTGCCGGTCTCATTACGGAGGTAGGACAGAACAAAGAGGATTTTTGTCTCATCCAGCGAGAACTCCGATCGATAGGCACCGATGTACGTGGTGCACGCGTCCACAAAGCCCAGGTATTTGGACTTGTCGCCATCGAAGTAGGGGGGGTTGGCGGCGAGAGTGATGCGGTGATGTCCTGACATGGTAGGAGCAGGTGCGGTAGGTGGGGGCGAGGGTGGTTGTTCGGAGGGTAACTCGCCAAGGTCGGGGATCTCGTCTTCAGGCGGCGGAAGGGCGAGATAGGGGTTGGAGGGTCCGGGTTCGTTTTGATGCGCCAGGTCAGGCGACGATGGTATGATGGGGGGAGGGGATGGACTCCCAGATGACGATGGGAATCGGTACGAAATGGTGGATTCGTGTGCTGTACAAGCACTCAAGGAAAGGTTCTTTTGCTAGCAAAAAGATCCCGGGCCTAGCTCTTCACGTGCCCGATGATCCCGAGGTGCATTTTCCCGAAGGTCTCCGCAGCACTCCTTGTAGCTACCGTAAGGCTTGGGTCGGGCTCAACGTTACCCGTGGCCTGGTGCTGTTTGCTCGATATGAACCTTTCACTGCGATCGCAGCGAGCGACTAGATGATTCGGTAAAAGGGTGAGTGGGGTGATAAGGGTGAAGAGGATATAGCGGGCGTAGCGGTGCACGGAGCAGGGTAGGAGGTAGGAGGTACGAGGGTATGAGGGGAGTCTTCGAATTATGTGACAATCAACCCAAAAACAAAGTCGAAAAGAGAAGTCAATTCGAAGACTGGAGAATACAACCAAATAGCTACAGTATTTATACCCAAATCCAGTCTGAGTCATATCTACAACTAATGAGTCATAGGGCTATGTACCGCATGGAGCACTGGTCATGGGTTGTAGTAGAGCCTTCCGGAGCATATGTCGCGCAGCCTTGAATCGATAAAGATAACCCCTAGAACCCCTAGCCCGGATCGTCTGATGCCGTGATCCGTGATAAGATAAGCCGTGCCAAGATAAGATAAGACCATCGATGATAAGATGAAAAAGAGTCGAATTATGACAAGGTTCCTATGTAGACAATGGTTCAACATGGTTCACTTTGAGTATGGCAAAAAATATTTTTTCTACACACAAGCAATTCAATACAGCTGAATGATATACTCTTTGGCAGTGTCTGAAACAAATTCTGAGAGCCCTGGACCCTGGAACCATTCAAAAACTTGAAATGAGTCCGAAAAATAGGGTCTTGATAAACATGAGATATGGGCTGGTTTGAAGAGACATGGGCCACCGGTCATGTTGAATATAGTATTTTACAATGTTTCGGTGCCCTACCTCTCATCACATGGCCTCATTTCCGACTAAGAAGCGCACATACACTGTCAAGCTCATAAAATCAATTGTCACCCAGAAACAAGAGCAGTGAAGTTGTTTCACTGGGATTGGGTAAAGGTTACCTAGAAGTCACTTGGGTTGCAGTACAGAAGCTTTGGAAAGTGATTTTGTAGTTGATCCACATTTGGTAGGCTGGCAGATGCTTGTGCACCCCCACGGCACCCCCCGCGGCACCCCCTGCGGTTGACCCCCCCCCAACCCCTGCAAGGATTTAATTGACAAATGTCCTGCTCAATCCATTGTAAGAGTCTACAGTATTATTGGATTCAGTAAAGGACCCAAATGCTATGTAGACAAGAAGTATGAAATCCGGAAATCAACAATTATGACACCTCCATGGAATATGCTGCAAATGGAGAGGAAAATTTGAGCGCAGACAGACTACCTGAAGCAAACAGACAGAGAAAAGAAACATTAGCCATTTCTTGTTGATGATGTTGGCTGTCCCTGGAGCATGTACTTGGGAGATTTGCCTAATAAATCAAGTTGCGCATTTTTCAAATTTTTAGTTTGACCTGACAGCTTGAGCAGACCATGCCAAAATGAACCAAGTCATATATATCAGTGCCCCAAGCCAAGCCAAAAGATTTAGGTAATATTGCACAGTTTTGATATCCCAGCCCCTGCCAAAGAATCAGGGAGTCACACGGCTGTAGGTGCAGACCACCCCCAGACACAGCCTCCAAACTCCTGGCAAAATGAAGGATAATTATGCTGCATGCTATGACCACAGCGAGAATAGATAGATCAAAATATAATGCAATGCACCCCTAACCCTGCTCCTGTGGTTGACCCCACAGCGGGCCCCGCGGCACCCCCTGTGGCACCCCCTGTGGCACCCCCTGCGGCACCCCCTGCGGCACCCCCCGCAGCACCCCCCGTGGCACCCCCCGCAGCAGACCCCGCCAAATGATGGGATCAAGTGCATCACCAGTCCCATTGTGCAGGGTGCATTTTGGGCTTTCCAAGCTCAAATTCATGCTTAAGTAGTGTATTTACCTATAGAAATGATACCAGGATGATTTGGGAAGGCTTCCATTTTTTGGGCGGAAAATCACGTGATTATGCGCCCATTGTCTGCCACAGCATGCAATGGATCAAGCAACACCTTCGAAATCATGCTGAATGGTGCACAAAAGGTGCCCCAAAAGTCACGTGATAATGCGCCCACTGCCCGCCATGGTGTGCGGGGGGACAGTAGCGCCCCCGCCAACCCCCGCCAACCCCTGCTAGCCATTTTTGATAATTTTCATGCGGTGCATCACGTGATTTTTTTTACCCCGCCATCAGCCGCCATCCCGCCCATTGGATGTGTCATGTGATTCATTTTTTTTTTCGCGCCCACCTGCCCGCTCCCAATGATAAATCACATGATATGTACAGACCCCCCCCCTGCACCCCCCCTGCTGATCCCCGCATATGCCCCTGCCCCAAATGGACCAAATCCCCCCCGCGGGGGTGCAACCGGGTGATGGCGGTGGTAACTGAGGTGGAACACCCCGCAATATATGACCACTAAGTGGCAAGGTGTCAGGCAGGACTGACATCTGCCCTTTGGAGAGAGCACATGCATCTCGTCGAGTAAAAACTCGTTGGGAGTTTCGGAGCGAAGCCAGGGCCTCCTATTCAGGAAAATGAATGGACGAGACTAGATCCAATTAGACCAATTGTGCGTACATTCCTCAACGAGGCAGTGAAACAAGACCAGTGGTCCAAATCCGACAAAAGAAGCTGTTGAAGACGCCATGAAGGCACTCGATAGCGCCTCATTTTACTAAAGGACGGGCACATGCATCGCGGCACGGAGTTGTTTCATGCTGACAGGTGAAATACGAGGTCGAAGGGGACACCGGGTCACAACTGTCACACGCACATTTGATCACATTAATGCGCGCCCACAATTTGCCCTGGAAGCGTTCCCAGAGTGCTCCCGGTCGCCCCTGGCCTGTAGATGCAGCGGATTTGTATGATACAATTTTACCATCCAAAATCGAGGGAATCTGATGGATCGAACCGAGGGACGACTCGCATTTGAAGGGCGGGCTGGTCACTATCCAATATTCAATGATTATCATGAACGCGTCCCGATCTGAGAAGATTCGATTTAGTGCATGATACATCGATGCGAGTCAAATTGTTCAGGGAATCTTCTCCATGACACGCTCACGCTATCGCACGATTTGCCGAAATCTGCCAGCTATGTAAGCCAAAGAATCTTTGAAGCAAGGCAGCCTAATCAAGAACAACTCTTTAGTAATCACCAAATTGCTATCGTTGATTAATATGGCACTCGACACGCGTGGTAGCGCTCCGGTAACTAGTTTCCCAAAGATCGTCC